CATTTGTTAGCGATTACCTCTGACACTATACATAATTGTTGCTGGAAGCGCAGCGCAATCGCTCGCCTTATTTTAGCATTCCATGACCGTAACTGAGTCAATGACTTTGCGGGTGTAATTTGTGCATCAACTACACGCATTGTTTTCTGTGATGTGATGGTAAAGGGCATATTCGTCGAAACTTCTCAGCAAAGGCGAAAGGCACATGAACGAGATTTCTTTAGTTGAAACTTTTGGATCTTAAACCCGGTACCCCACTCCTCCACTTATGGTTTTGCGCCAAAAGCGAAGTTCCTTTCAAATAACGGACTACAGATTTGCGAGAAGACAACTCATACTTTTCCCTACTCAGGTTGAAAACGAATTGGCTACTTTGAATGTAACTCACGTGGTATGCCTCACTGGAAGGACGCATGGAAACGGAATAAACACGATCGAATACCTTGAAGGTGGCCCGGATCGAGTAAACGAGAACCTACGGGATAACATGTACAGGTGAGCCTTCAAAACAAATTATTCTAAATCTCAATGAAGCTTTCTGCCCAATTCTTGCCGCCTTGCGGAAAATGTGAAATCCATGAGTTTTCTCCATAATCCATGGCGGACACGGTCAGGAGTCCCAAAATGCATGCTACCCGGCGAAACAACAATGTAACAACCATAAATAAGGTCTGTGCAACAACAACTAACAGAGAAAACTCGGGATTTGTGAACCAATTGGGATCCCCGGATCCTTGCGGGACCTTGTGACTGATAAGCATGCCTTCACCGCGTGCGTGCCTTTCATCGTGAGAATTTGGGCATGAGATTCATCACCGCTCAGGTTCACGTTATTGTATGAAGCTTCCTGAAAACAAATTTTTCTTTTCTCGACCTCATAGATGTGACCTGCATGTAATGATTTCCATTCAGTGCTACCGCTCTGGCTCACTTCTGTCGCAAACTCGGGATTCACTTCACATATGTTGGAACGGGTTACATCTTCGCCTATGATAGCACTCATCCAATAGGAGGCCAAGGATTCACTGAAAAAGGTATCTTTATAATGTCTGATTCATTCCTAGAAGCAGTATTGGGAAAAAAGAATGCCGAACTTGGGCTAAAGTCCCACTCTCTTGACTCTACGGGTATGATTTCGGGCATTACGGGCATTTCATCCAATGCGCCAATCCTCTGGGTGGTCGTGGATAACTATCCATCTTCATTTTCCAGATATCCCAACTTTCTTCGGATCGTCATATTCCGTTGTGAAAGGCTTCACAGATCGACAAATGTCACATTTCAATGAGAAAGGATGGGAAAACATCAACGCAAGAATCACTCTACCGCTGACATACGAGCTCGATCAACCTAGAAATCTGCTCTCAAAAATAATAACTTACAAGTAAGTCAGCTGATTGTTCCCATGCCAAAGTTAGTAATTGAAAAGATAATGATAATTTTCGTATCAAAATGAGAGCGGTTGAGATTGGAGAGGATGTTGGAATGATTGAGAGAAAAAATGAGATGAGATGAACTGAAATGAGATGAAGGTCGGTCATCAGCGTTGTGAAGGGTTAGTGGAGTTCGAGCCTTTGGTTCGAGCACTTTCACCCGGGCGGCACCATATCTTGACTCTTCAGTCGCGAGAAGGTGTGCCTTCAAGGCCCCTAACTAATGCATTCCACCTCTGATGCACGGCGTATCACGACAGAGCACTTGACCCAGCCATTAACCGTATTCGCTCTTTTAAGAATTGGAAATTAGTTTGGCTTAGCAAACACTCCGGAGATTTGCTCTGGGTAACCTTAATCGCCACTTGGTGGTACATTCTTTGCTATCAGGTGGCTACTCTACCTGGCTCACTTCGAAACCCGCTTGATGCGTGAGAGTTCTTGGCATTCACTGATTGGAAGTACTTTATCAGATTGGAGTTGTAGAGCTCCATGGCGGTCAACTCGTCCAAAACAGGTCAGCCTGGGTTGTTGGATCGGGCCTGTCCTTTCCTTACAGAACAAAAATGAAAGTTCATAAGAGAGGTCAACGCCCGGCCAACGTGGTGACCTTATTTCGGGGAAACGAACGCGAAAGTGCATCTCGTCCACTACGTTAGACACAAGCCCTGCATATTGTCGATTAAATAATCCCACAGAGAGACAGCGGAAGGCCTCATGATTTTTGTCCGAAGCAGTTCATTTGATGAAATGAAGCTATAAAATGAACTACCCAACATTTTTCAGAGAAATTTTCGATTTGCCGGTGTCAATTTCAATTCTTCCGGATTGCTTCAACGCTATGGTATCGCTGATGGAGAAGAGATTTGGAGGAAATCTAAACCTCGTCAATCCGGAACCTATCAGCCTGTATGAGATTGTGCGGCTTTACAAGGAGGTGAATGTCACTGAAATCAAAGTTGTACATCATTAACCATAGCGAGATCTTCATGTAAAGCTGAGTATCCATGATACTAGGTTGCTATAGCCTTTCAATCCGAGGAGCCAGTGGCTGGGAAGTAGTCCAAACCATCCACCAAAAGGGTAATGCATTGTGGAATAGTACTCCACAGACACGAACTATATTCGGCTTCACCCCATCTACAGGGTTGGATTGAACAAAGAACGAGTCTCATCCCTACTGTAGCCCAGTTCATAGCCGTATCAGTAATTAAAAACCTTATGGTCATAGTACTACCACTCCCACTCTCCCTACCCCCCCCCCCCCCCCCCCATAGATAAACACTAATTTCAAACTGCAACTTTCAGATCGTCGATCCAAGCGTAGATCCCAAACCGATTGGAACCACAACGGAACGAGGACAGAACCTCCTTGCCACAAAAGGAAATTGCGCTCTCGATACAACATTGTTGGAATCACTGGAGCACATCCCAACTGCGAGAGAATCTCTTATAACCAACTTTAAGCTGATGAAGCAAACTAATCATCGTGGTTATGGTGTCTGTAATGGAGCTTTGTGAACATTGGCATTTCTAATAAAGAAAGAAGTATTTCACCGAAGTATTTCACCAGGGGAAGCCCAAACACAAGTCACATGGTGTAATGTACTAATTAGGAGAATGGGAATAGGGAGTTAATCTGAGCCCTTTTAACTTGACAGTGCCATTTTGAGTTAGTGTTCGGAAGCGATTGAACGAGACCACGGTGTCTTCCATTCGGGCAACATTAAATAGGGCTGGAAGAAAACTTAAATTAGTCCCCTCTGCGGGCCGCTACTCTTCCCTCTCCTCTTTTATAGTGACATATCGGCTGAGTAAACAATTTCTTGATATTCATTCAATGAGGTCTGACACGGCAACATGGATTCTTCCATTGACACAGAAAACAGCATGTAATAGAGAGGAATGGACGAGTGAAAAGGTACTAGGATAATTTCCAAAAATATCGTTGTTCGGTAAAAATTTTAAAAAGGATGTGAGCAAAAAATCGAGAAAAGGGCAGTACGGAGAGAAGCCGTATCCGACTGTGACCCGATTGTCATACCAAGAACGTCCTACAAAACTAAAATGTCAATGATTACATCGGACCAAGGCTTGAACTTCTTCTTCGGATTTTCGTAAGAAACGGCTTGTTTTTACGACAGCTCGAGGTTCTTGGATTTGGAGCGGATCCAGCGAAGGTGGCATACTACACGGGTCTAATGTCCCACACTTGAAGAGTGACCAACCTGCTCAATGCATCGCAGGAGCTACATACCGCGAACGGTCGAAACCTCAAGGATCAATGCCTCTAATGTGTGGTATTCCAAGCTTCCAGGAGGCCAAAGCACTATGTCCGGCATCAGTCTTTTTCTTAGATTGCTCGGCAGCTTCATAGAGAGCAGGATTTGAAGACTGAAAGGATCTGCGATACAGTAGACCCGCCTAAACGATCACTGGCTACACCACCCTTACCTCCTGTCTACCGGCCAGAGCCTATTTTCATTGCGTCGCATATGTCAAGAGCTACTTTCATAGTCCACGATTTGGCCCGCGAGCGATCGAGCGATTGGGGTGGCGCTTGCCCGCGGTATCGACCAAGATTCATTTGTAAACAAGGGCCAAACGCCGCCCCAATCGCTCGATCGCTCGTTCGCGGGATAAATCGTGAACTGTGAAAGCAGCCAAGGGTTTCTTGATCGTTTGGTGTTCCTTCTAATCTACTGTTTTCGACTACTGGGTAAATTCTAATCTTGCTAAATATTTATTAAAAATATGGCTTGCCAACGAAGTAGCAGAACAGTAAATAAGCAGTTTCTATTTTGATTTGTACTTTTCCTTCAGCGGCGCTTTTTCCTTCCGGGAGTTGTTTGTCCTGCCGGGCTTGCGCTATCGTGTTGTTGGCGAGTCTGAATATAGATGGCCCACAATAGTTTGAATGGGTAGAGGGGAAAGCATTGAGTCCTTGGGAGCTTCTAGAGTTATTCCTAATTCAAATAGAAAAAAAATTCAAAACTATTAGAGAAGATACAGTTCATCACAAATCCACAAGGGTAGGATACTTACTATTTTAGTCATCGCCATAGTGGCGTTGACGTTGCTTGTACTCATGAGACCGCTGGGGTGTAGAACGCATGCCGCTGAAATTTAGAAGAAACAGGAGGAAATCAGGCGAAACACCCTGGAAAGGAAAAGAAAAAGAGCTCCAGTTTATAGTTTGAACTACCATGACGGCGTTGAATGGTGCAGTCTTCTCTCTTTGTGGATAAATCAATCTTGTCTGGTTTTGGTGACACCCCGGATACACCGTGAGTTTTATGTGCAGCAGGTGGAAATGGATTCTTCGAAACTGTGTGCTGAAGAAAACAAATGAGAATCTCAATTAAAATATATATTACCGACCATTAACCGAGCATTAAAGATAGATCTTTGATCGAAGACAATTTTGAATGGAAAATTTCAGAGCGACCAGTCCACTCGGATGGTCCACTCGCTTTCCATTCTGTAGTCAGGACCATCCTGTCATCTGGATACGTGTCGGGTATGGGCAACGACTTGTAGAGTATCCAAGGCTGGCTTATTCAATTTTATAATTTCTAGCAAACTGAAGCCTGAACGCAATCCTGACCAGGCCGGGTTCAGGATTTTGTGTAGGATGGCCAGTCAAAGCGGTTTGGATTGCCATTGCCGGTACCTATGGTAGTACCATGTGCCTCGTGTGGTGCGTTAAAGAGGTTAGTAGCCTTGTGAGGCACAGTTGGCGGGTTTTGAGACCCCACTAATAAAAAGCTTTCATGGAACATTATTTATATCTGACCCATACATTTCCCAACATGAAACGTTTGTGGGTCCTGTCGCCTGTAAAGGATGATTGGAACCTTGGTCGAAGGAGGCTCACAGGAACGGGTACAGACGCCAGTTTCAGTGGGCTTCCTTCCCAAGCTGGTTTCCAAGGCACTGCTGTGTCCAAAACGATATTTTCGCTCCTCAGCTTCTCTGTTCCTACATTCGAAGGGGCTTCAACAAGAGTAACAACACAGCCTTTCCGAAAAAAAAGCTAAAGTTTCCATTCAACTTTGCTGCTCAGCTTCACCTGCGTAACTGAAGGCTCGCGGTGGTGGTTTTGCGACCTGCTAACACTTTTCAAAGTTCATGGTTGATAGAATTCTGTGGGGTATCAACTATTCGATCCTTGGAAAGGGCATCGGAGTAGGCATTAGAATTATTCTACTTTTAAGATCTGCTCCAAATAACTCGAAGGCAAAAAAAGAACTTCCCGGAATTTCAAAAAAAAAAGTTTAATATTTTTGAAATACCTCAACCAAAAATTGCCTCGCAGCAGCACAGGCTGCGTGAACTCGTTTCTTGTTTTCTGCAGCTTCCAGCATTTTGTCGTAGTAAGGACTATTCACCTTGAATTACCATCACTTTCAGCAAAATATAAGATTGTGGCGTCACTTAAAGCCAAGTAAGCACTTCCAAAAACCATCCACTTTGTAATGAGTAGTTAAAACTATCAATATATTTTATATTTATGTTTCTGTCTCGATGACGATCACGATGACGTCTTTTCGATCCATGTCACTCACCTGACTCTTTAGGTTCAAGTCACGGAGAAAGGATAACATCCAGTTACCCAGCTTCGCTATAATGACCACAAACTAGACCCCGATAAGGCCCCCCAGTAAACGACAACAACATCAATGCTGTAAACCTTTTGCCTCAAACTCCAATGTACACGATGCTTTGACCTGAATCTAAACAAACCATTTTCGAAGATTCAGTCGGAGTTAACTCGGCGACCGTAATGCTGACTTCGGGTACACGTATGGAAAGAACCTGAGGTTCGCTGCATGGCGTCGAAAGGAAGACATCTATAGTTGAGTTGACCAGCTGAAAGTTTTTTCTGTTAGTGTTGAAGCCCACTACCCTATTTACAGAAAAACACTCAGTAAAAAACCGAAAAAACTGCGCCTACCCTCATTGGCAGGAAAGCAAAGGCAACTCAGCTAGTAAAACTGTGAGAATGAATGTAGTTTGGAAGGATATTGGGATAAGAGACACCGCTCCTTTCCAACATTGACCGCTAAGAGGGAGGCATATTCGATTTTCTTGCTCACAATGGTGCTCTGCAATTATTCTCAGCCAAGGGACTACAGCTTTTCCTTTTTCTACGCTTTCGGAAGGACCATCGGAATGGGGAGCTCACTGAATGTTCATTTTTCTCTCCATCCCAGCTTTTTTCCAGGGACACATCCACCCCTGAGCTTATTCCCTTCTGAGACTTTGGATATCAGGCTAGTAACTGTCTCTATGCACAAGTATGTTCGGCTACCGCTTCTTCTCTGGGAAAGCTTAGTATTGGAAAAGTGCGGTGCCCCCGGCCCCGATTACATTTTCAGCAAAATCTATTTTAACAGAAACGAATACACAGCAAGAGAACCTAGTCCTTACAGTGACCTAACGAAAGAATAAAATGCAATGGACGCAGAACTTCATAGATAATCAGTTCATCCCACGCCATAACCTTGTCTGAATACTCGGTCCGAGACCGGTTACGCGCAAAACATGGGAAAAAGGCTTCTCCCGCAAGGAAACGGAACTGTGGGTACACCGAGTGGTGCAGCATCACAACCACACTCTCGGGCCAGGACCCAAAATAAGGTTGCTGTAAAGGCTGATTTCACGTACCGAATTTTCATCCTAGTTGCTTGCTACGGCGAAAGGCTCCCTCATTTAGTCGCTCCTCTTTCAAAAAACTCTAACTTTGAGATATAACTATATCATTCAATAACTTTTCTTTAATTTTCTAGTCTCGCCTCTCTTCTTAACCCTTTAGGTTTTTTCTATTGGTATGTATCCAAGGTTTTAGTGTTTTAAAAACGAGGTGGTGTCGTGTCAAAAGACGCCTCATCCCAGAGGAATGCTCCACGGATCAAATCCCGGATTGATACTCGCCCGGGCCAACCAAGCCTTCCATTCCAACAGGAGTCGGTCAATTGATAAAAGACTGGTGTCAATTTTCAGGCCAAATACGGAGTCATCACAGCTCTGAATGAGAGTCGTGTGCGGGGCGCATCCTACCATCATTAGGTTACAGAAGTAATGACGAATACACAAGTCCTGAGCACGTACATTCACTGCAAAACTTCCCCACCATTTCTTCCTATGGTAAAACTGAATGCCCTCTAAAGAATTCGATGATTATCTCTTGAGTAGAGACCTTTTTCGGATTCCACAAAAATGAGCACAGTCACGCAATGGAATCAACGGTTTCGCAACATAAACGTGGAATTGTTTTTTTGAAAATTGAATTCTAGCAGGAGTGTGTACTTTTGCAGCAAAAGGTTTTGTTTGTGGGTGAGGCCTACATCGTCAAGCAGGATAAAATCGAACTAATTTACTTATCTGTAGCGGGATCTGTCCCACTGGGGGCACTAGCAGTGGCCTTAGGAGAATAACCCTGTGATGAGGGTTGCTCTTTTCTATACTCGCACTGCGTAAAAAACCTTAGATACATTTATACATATGCAAATTAATGTGATTTTGCCTATCCATCCCAGGACGTTCACCTCTAAAGCCGTCTGATATTCAGCAAGTTCAGGCTGTTCAATCTCATTTGCAGTAGCCAGCCGATGCCCAAATCGGCGTCTTATCCTGCTGAACGAATTTGGTACCATTAATCGGTCTCGGAAGGATAGAAGAGTTGCTTGATCATGACGAATATCGATCCAGGATTTGTACCTTGGACCATTCGTGTGGGATAGTGCGCCACTTGCCAGTACACCGATTTGCCCTTGGAACACTCAAGAGATTATAAGTGTAGCAAATGTCTCGAACTTCCACCTAAGAGTACCTTGCCAAAAATGTTGTGAACTGAATCCGATTCATGATCACACCTTCTAGTTCTGTGTTGCGAAAGATCTCAATCGGCGATACCTCTGTCAATTTCCATTGTAAGCGGCAGTTCTCCCCGAGATCTACCGTATCCACCCGCTGGCATTTCAAACTTTTCCTTCGATAGCGCGCGGCCGCGTGCGATCGTGTGTGGCGATTCCCGAGTACTACTGCAGACTCGCCAAGCCGAGCTCGAGGTACCGTATCGTTCTCTGGCTCCGGGTATTAGACACAGAAGTGCAGTCCTCTTAAATTACGTTTTCATCGGATCCGTCAAAATGAACATCGTCCGAAATGTTTTCGAAACCGTTTTAAAGAACACTACATAGATAAAACCATCATTTCGGTCCACAGAGTAATAAAGGCTGAGGTAAGACTCACTTCGAGCACAGCATCCCTTTGCGCTTTCTTCACCCGTCTTTTGATGTCATTCCTGTGCGTGTCGGACGGAGAGGAACTAATTGCCGGTAGCATCGAAAGAACGATCGCAGAAAATGAGTGGTCGTGTACATCATGAGGTGTTTGTTCATCCGAAGATTAATGATACGTTCTCCGATAGAGACTGTTGTGATTCGGCTCATTCACATTGCGTGCAGAGTATCTTATAAACTCGGGTGAGATGTGTCGAAGTTTTCCGATACCACTGAGTTCTCCCCATCAGCATGTTTTCCGAGCAAATTTCGCCATGACGTGACCAACATCACAGCCCAATGGAGGCCCATTTATCACTAATCCGCTCATGAATTCTCTGACACCAATCGATATGCATGGCTTAACATTAACCGGATGCCTTAAAATTGAGACGATGTACGAGTCAGGGCATTAATCTTCTCAGACGAGTTTGGTACCAATTAACAGATCTAGAGGGTTGGAAAGCTTAGTTGGCCTGGGCAGGTAATGACCCTAGACTCGGATCCGAACCGTGAAGCCCTAAACATCCACTCAAGGACAGAGTCAAAAATGTCCTGCAGGTTATTCCAACAGGTAGTCATCTCGTTGGAAAACTTACTACGGAAGAACTGTGCAGCTTGCCAAAACTTAATATCTGACGGCTTTTCATTTCATTTATACTGTGAAAAATAATTAGGGAAAGTATGAGTTTGTTTTGCCACCTAATCGGCATGGACCTAACGTCCTCTCCAAAGAAAGCTCTACGAGTTGAATAAATCTCATATGCAAAATCGGTCCTTTGAGGGTGTCGAAAGTTGAAAAACAAGTAAGATCCATCGGATCCATTCACGTAACAGGACCATTGTCTGTACAACTATACAACTGGCTCGGTGAACACCTTCACGAAGGGGAGCGTTGAGTTACAAGTACCAAGTAAGAGACCTTTTTCCTCTCGAGCTGATACGTCAGCATGGGATCGCGCGAGCTATAGGCAGTCACCAAACATGCATGCCCGAACTTGCGCAGCTATGCAGAGAAGCGATAAAGGAAGATCTGTAAGAGAGAAGGACAGCTAATGTAGACAAAGCCGCCGAAGCCTGAAAGAGTGCCCACAGAAACTTTGACAATTACAAGAACAAGATAATTCCCTTCGCCTTTCTTATTTGGAACACTATATCTCCAAAGATAGGGCAAGAGAATCTACGACTTCTACTTCGACACCTTCTACAGCCACGTTTACCTGCCTACCTATCATATTGGGCAGGACAGCTATGTTGTTCCCTCAGTTCCCTCTTCTGAAAATTGAAATGCCATCTCGTCGATGAAGAACTGTCTGGCGCCTGGCCACGGTAGAGGATCAAATCAGAACAGCAAATCTATCAGCCATTACCGCCAACACTATATCCGGTCTCTTTATTCCCGCGTATGTAAGAATACTAGGTTACCAGTGGAGAACTTGTAAGGCTGTGCGGCAGAATGATAAAAAATAAGATGTAGGCGATATTGCAACTGTCGCTCAGCCACCAATCGAAAATCTAATACTTTATTCTAACTTAACACCTTTCTCACTTAAATGTAATCAAATTATACGGAAAAAATGGCCTAAAACCTTCAGTCTTCCATAAAAAGGCTTAAATCATCGATTTTCTGGAGTTTCCCTATGATCAGAATATCCGAGGCACCCTCATGGTTCATTGGGAATGAGGGGACAATGGGTGATGAGGAAAGAAGTGAGAATGCTACTAGGTCTATTCGAATTCCTTTAGCGGGAGTGAGCAACGTCTTTTCTGGTCGTACCGCACGCCGATACAGCGCTCATATAGCGCTACACCCATCACTTTCTCCTCTGGAGGCTTACATGGAGAAGTTTGGCTTTCGAAGTAGTCGACTGTCCTGGTGTGCGCTTGACTTTTGTTCCGACACCCTTTTTATTCCGACGATGATGTCCGCAGGGCGTTAAAATTAGCTTGTAGCCTTGCCGGGAAGCATTCTGTCCAGCTGGGTGAGTGCGTTTTGGCTATCCTGAGTCGCATAATCGTTTTTGTCCCAGTACTGTCAAAAGCCTCCTACAAATCACAAGCAACGGAGTTCATTCGCATTAGTTGAGCGCAACTAATGCAGGCTGCAGTCGCCAGTACGTTTGGGAGATATACTTGTCGGCAGAGCTGGATTCAAATAGTGTCCTGCCAGCTCTTCTCAGGATGATTGGTAGGAGTCTATAAAATACAGAATGCAGGAAGAATGCAGAAAGAGCAATAACTGGCAATATACCCTACACCTTCCCGTTTATCCCGTTGACATAGTAGCACAGCCTCCCCAGAATAGGTCCCTTGCTTTCAGGATGACGAAGAAATTCAAAATTCTGATGAGAATTGACAAAGGACTCGCCAAAACGCCTAGCTCATCCCCGCCTGTCCTTGGTAGTGTGAATATTTCAGACGAAATAGCGTGTCGGGCTTCTGTTGGAAAAACTAGAGGAATTCGGAGCTCAACGAGCTGCTCCATTAATGGGCGATGAATAAATGTCTAGCGAGCTCGGGTCGCAGTGGGCGGGGTTCCATCGGGAGATGCTCCATGCCTATATTTTTACTACAAGCACACATTCAGCTGAAAAGGGCAGCTGAGCAAAGAGCACGATCCTTCGAATGGTTGCCGTTTTGTGTTTCATGGTGGAGTCACGGGCTCACTGTTAGGCTAACCCAGTCATTCGATATATGGGTTTGGGTAGGGTAACAGGTATGGAATCGAGCGGGACGACGCTTAGCGAGATAACTAGCTAAGGATCGCTGCGTATCGGGTACAATGTCACACGCCCGGTTTATCCGACCAGATATGGTCAGTGGGTGTTTCGGTTCGAGCCCAACAATGAAGGCAATTCTTACTACGGAAAAAGATACATAGCTCAGGCTATTTTGGTTTGATTTTGTGACTGGGGGCTTCTTCACAAGGCCAAGTTCGCTCTGTTCGGATTCCTAAAGGCGGGTATCTAAATAAGTCAGCGTTTTCCTCCATCCGTCAAGGAGTGGTTAAGAGAACCACTTTCCAGGTCTCACCACGATCACCATCCCCCCCCCCCCCCCCCCCCTGCTCGTCCAACAAACACCTAAGACTTTGGGACCTGAGCGCACCTAGCATTTCCGTATCGCTAGATCCCGTCTAATTGAACCAATTAGTATTTCCTTACAAATACCCGAGGGTGGCCAGAATGGAAGTGAGAGAAATTCGGAGCAGCTGCACAAAAGTTCCCATTTTTATTAGGGCAGAAGCAAAATCCTTCTATGGGTGAAGAGTGAGCCCATTGAGGCTTGCATCGCTCCCCTCCCCATGAATTTACAATTTCTTTCAATGCGTTTCATAATAGCCTAGCTCAGTCGGAAGTCCATCCCACTCACAAATTTCCCAAGCAGCAGAGTTCACATAATCTTCTCGGACTCAGACAAACCCATCACCCCACCAACTCGTCGTAGGCTTACGTAGTACTAATTCATCACGTATAGGACATAATTAGATTATGTTCGAATGCCGCTACGACACAGATTGAAAAGTCGGGGAGTATGGGCGTGTTCCGAGACGAAGAGTTATTTCCCATGCTTCAACTCCTGGACCTTTCCATGACCTTTGAATCCACCTGTTTCTATTAGTCAGGTAGGCACAATTTAGAGTCAGGTGGAGGGCACGTGGGAGTCTCCCAAACTCCCATTTCGGCCTAGTTGACACAAGCTGACGGCTTTGAGCATGGTCAAACCCCATCCCCACAGCAAGGGCCATGCGAGCCTTTGCCGCCGTCAGTGCTTACCAGTAATTTCCACGCGAAATCAGGGAAGCACCTCCCTATTCAACAACAAACACCCACGGAAGTAATCCTCGGTCTCGTGCAGCGGGATCTTTAAAGGACTGCATTGGGAGCCGCGACGCAAACGCGCACAATCCATTTCGGATGCGCGTCGACTCTTCTAGCTAGACGATACGCAGTCTCAGACACGATGTCAACTTTACCTTGGCGGAATTACCGAGCGTGATTTCACTCTGTTTTTGACGGTTTACGGCTTTGTTTGTGCAGCATACTTTAAGGAGAAGAGGAGTACTTCCAAGTAAGACTGTACAATGCCATTTTATCCAGTTAGTGGCAGATTTAAGCTCATAAAGTTGTGGGGTCGCTTGGAAGTGCTGCCCCGTTGGGGCACAATTTGTCACCAGTGCGTATGTCATCCTTTTTTTTNTTTTTTTTCTTGTGTCCTTAGCGAAACAGGGTTCGCGATTTAATTATATTGTATGTCGTATATTGTTCTCAATATTTATATTGTCTCAGAATAATTCTTATAAGTTTCTGTTTCACTGAAAAAGATTTGTGGTCGGTTTTGTATTGAGTTGCGTTCGCGAAAACTTTTGGGAGTTTCTGTGGATAATCAGTATTTGAATTACTTGACAATGACTTGAAAGTGGGATCTGTTCTATTGCAGGGGAACATGGCTGACGAGCATCATGACGATGAGCACTTTGCGTCGGCCGAGTCCGGTGCTGCTGCTACTTTTCCAAAGCAGTGCTCTGCTCTTCGTAAGAACGAGCACGTCATGATCAAGGGCCGCCCTTGCAAGGTAAGCATCTTCAATTAATCGTATGGTTTTTGCTTTTTGCTGAATGCTTAATCTGTTCAGATTGTTGAAATGAGTACCTCGAAAACTGGTAAGCACGGTCACGCCAAGGTACATCTGGTTGCTCTCGATATCTTCACCAATAAGAAGCTTGAAGATATTTGTCCTTCCACTCACAATATGGATGTTCCTGTCGTTAAGCGTCGTGAATTTATTGTGAGTCATAAGTTCGATACCTGGACTTTGTTGCTCCTTATACTTTCTTATCTGTCTATATCGTTGAATTATTTTTTGTGGGGTTGTGTTCAAATTTAATTTGTCTTAGTTCTAATGTGTTTGAAATTCTGCGTGCAGTGATGGTTGGATAAGTTTCGTCTGATTACGTGATTGATCAAATTGACTGAGCACTGTGGAATTTCTTCACACAAATCGTTCTTGTTGCGATTTTCATTTAAGCTCTGAACTTATTTAGTAAAACCTAGTTCCTGTATTCGGGAGCATGGAGTAGACCATATCGAAGGGAATATAGCCAGCTCGGCCATTTTATTTCATTTTGTTTAAGCTCATGTCAATCGAGGATGGCTTCTGCAGTCTTATGGATCCGGAAACTTGTGATCTGAAGGATGACCTGAAGATGCCAGAAGGTGAACTTGGAACTCAGATCAAGGAAGCACTGGATAAGGATGAAGGATCTGTTCTCGTGAGTTAAAAAAAAAAGTTTTTAAGTGATATAAAGGCTTCAGTGCAATGATGGTAGGATAAGTTTCGTCTGACAAATGTGATTTGAAACTTGAACTGAGCACTGAAGAGTATTGCTTATATTTTATTACCGTCATTTGCTCTCAACACATAACGGAGAAATAAATGTAGCGCAGTTAAAATCAGGGAATGCGCCGTATCAGACGTTCCTTACAAATGTTCACATCTTACCAACTTTTAAAAACAATAAGTGTTGCTTTAACTATAAGAAATCGAAAATTATAAACTTCGCAACTGAAAGCGAATATGAGTGATGTAAAAGTGCTTGCAAAGGTAATGTTGTTGATTGTATAGTAGTAGTAATTTGTTTTCCGCAATCATTTCTCAGTTTCCCCTGATGATGTGACAAATCTCACATGATGGGTTTCCTATAATCTCTGCAAAGGTTTTTTTTCTATGAATAGAGAGTAGTGTTCACCTCAGTTTCAAAATTTCATCATGCAAGCTTTTAAATTTCGCGTATATTGCCTCCTTTAAACAATTTAAATAATGAAAACATTTTCTTTGAAAACGTTTCAGAAACTATTGCTGTTTAGCAAAACGGTGAAAGGACTCACCACAGAATATGCTCCATGGTGATTAAAAGCATGTTTCCCTTGGACTTTATTGGAATGTAAAATGTTTCCAAAATGTAGAGCGTAATGCGCGTTAAAGAAAGAAAATGATGTTAGCATATGTTTTGATTAGCGCCTAGCAAATCCTGTTACTCTATCATTCGTGCCAATCGGCATAGTTAGGAGCCCTATATTTCTGTGAAAGTGATTGAATAACACATTGAGTCTTTTTTTATTCCAACAGCAACTCAGCTACATTGTGATGCTGGCTTGGATTTTTCATAGTCGATTACCTTGTTAGAATTCTTAGGGTTATATTATGTGTTCGTTTTGTAGTCGTGAGAAGCTTACTAGCTTTTTTTTTGAGACAGGAAAAATTTCACGGATCAGTATGTAAACAGTACACAAGCGCTGGGTGAGCATCTTCTAGAGGAATAGGGCGAAAGCGTTTAACCTATGCATGTCGTGATGGCGGAATTTCGCGCAAAAGGTGCAGGAACTGCTTTTGCCACATGAGAAGTATTAAGTTTTTAGGAATCCTGCCTTCCATGGTTACCCTATGTATTCTCAAAGCACGCCATTTTTGCAACACTTTCATACTATTAAATTTGTTTCATCGGCTCAATAACTCTGCTACTTTTTCTGCAACAAACTCGCACTTTTGTTATTTGCTATGTTTTTTCTTCAATGGAAGGCTGTGAAGAGAATAAGTGAAAACGCTGCGGGTTTATCGCTATTATCCTTGANGCCTTCCATGGTTACCCTATGTATTCTCAAAGCACGCCATTTTTGCAACACTTTCATACTGTTAAATTTGTTTCATCGGCTCAATATTTCTGCTACTTTTTCTGCAACAAACTCGCGAGAATAAGTGAAAACGCTGCGGGTTTATCGCTATTATCCTTGATTTCTTTCAAAATTCCTCAGAACGATTACATTTACTTCTCCATATTTAATTACATTCAGCGAACTCATCCTTTTCTTACAAGACTTAGACTTGTTTCTTGGAATATTGTAGCACCAGATAGCAACAAACAGCTTAAAGATTGCTCAGAAACTGTCAAAAACTAAAAGATTTTTAAAAATCTCTGTTTCATCTTTGTTTACAGGTGTCTGTTGTGTCTGCTTGTGGAGAGGAAGCTATTCTCGGATACAAGATCTCCACCAAGGATTGAAGGCAGACTGATCAAAGCGGGTGATTGTCTCTTGGGTGGCTTATTCCCGCAAAGCAGTTCCACGTTTCTTTGTTTCGACGTTACTTGTTTGAATAAATTATAAAATTTCTATTACCGCTTTTGCCTTCCCCTTACTTTTTTTCATTAGGGTTTCAATTGTGCTATGAAGTATCCCGTCGCCGTTGAATGTGATTTATCGATCTTGAGTCTGTGTATTTAAGGATAAAAATAAAATTATTTCCAATTATTGGAAATGAATTGGGCGGTTTCCCAGCATTAGTGTAATGCGCGTATCTTTCCTGTTTAGATTGTAAACTTCCTTCATAAACTGCTGCTAACTCCTTTTGTACTACAAAGCGGTAATAGGTTCTTGTTCTATGAAAATAAGTGCACCGGTTGCTCTTGTTTCGTATTGCTTTGTCGCTTCAGATATATTGTGTCGGTGATCCCATGTGAGATACGGATACGATGATGTCGTGAGGTGTAATAGCACGAATTGAGGCAATTAGTCGAAGGTGAAGGCTTTCTCCCTGAGTTGCCGATATTGCGATTTGAAGAGCTGACTCGGTCAGATCCGCAATTGAGGACATCTGACCTGAGTATGAAGGATGCCTTGGTTGTTCGCAGTAAACTGTGAAACTTGTTTTGCTTTTGATAGTAATATTCATTCATTTATTTTCATGTTCACGCATCAACCTCTCTTGTGAATGTTATTAGATGCTGTTGCGTTTGAATAAACATAGTTATTGGGGGTGAAGCTTAAGAGTACACGAAGAAAACGTCCGGGTGAGAGAAAGGTAGAATAATGGCGGACCTTAAAAGCTTAGCTCACGATAAAAATGCTTTCTGTTTTCTCCCACAGGATGAATTTGAGGCCCCCGCGTATACCATACCTGGCACTATTAGGTCGGCAAAGGCCTAGTTAGGGAGTTATAAAGGCTCAAAGATTGGCCCGTGTATATCCTCGGACGAGTTCGCCGGCATCGTAGAGGCTGCACCGATCACAAGGGAACCCATGGAGGAAGTTCAAACAACTTGTCATGACTCACAGCGACAGTGAAAGAAGGTTCTGTTCAATTCTGGCCTAGTGTAGTCAGCTCTTTGCGCAATTGCAATAACTGAAATCTTGTTCGAATACCTCTTCCGTGGTACTTCCGTCATTGCAATCTCGTCCAACCTCTACTTTCCCTACTTTTGAAGAGCCATATTCTTCTCGAAATCGGCAAATTCTCTCGATTTCTTCACTACCGATGAAGTATTCCCAATCTATACTTCCGATTTTCGACTGAAAGCGGTTCTCAAGATTATCGTGAACTGTGCCTTTGAGCGCGTGCAGTTATTAGGAAGAAAAGGTTGAAAATGAAAAAGTGAAACGATTCTAATCTGCTTGCCTTTAGACGGAGCGCACCTCGACCTCGTCAACATTATAATGGCTTCTGAAGGAGTGTCGGGCGATGTAATAGCTGGTAGTGGGTGCATCCATCAATGCTATCATCTCCTTTCAGGCGAGCTTGGTATCAATTAAGTGTCTTCGAAGGGACAGGATACTTAGTTGACCTTCGATGGTCCGGTCGAGGATTTGATCCCGGGCTCTACGCGTGGTAGTGCGCTGTTTGGTGTTAATCACATACTCCTGGGGAAATTGGGTTAGGCGACCATGAAATTGGGTTTTGAGAGATGAATTTGTTCTATCACTTAAGAGAGATTAGGTAGAATAGGNAAAACACAGGCTGCGCATCCAGCCTGTGTTTTGATTTTTGCAGGTACAGGTGGACAAGAAGCGGCGAAATGAGCCGTATGCTGTTCTAGCAAATGGAGGATTGGTTCCTACTCTGGAGACACTTTGAGAGGCAAGAAATCTCGGTGAAAATCGTTTGAGAAAACCGAGTCGGCAAGGCGCAGGTATTCGTGCACCTTAGAAGGATTAATCCATCGAAGATGAGTTCGCTCTCATTAGATGGCCCTAACTGGCTTTGGTAATGATTCAACACTTGGCACTGTGTTGCACTATCATTTATCCTTACTACGCGTTGTAATGTGCGGCTGCCAAGATATGTGTCACCAGTCGTGTCACGGAAGGGGCGTGGGAGACGTTGAAAGCGGAATTGCAAAGCTTCGATGCCTTAAAACATCTGGTTCCCACGCGCTCACTTTTCTACTCTCAGAGATGAGAGCGGAGACACAACGACGAAACCCTCATGAAAACAGCGGACGACAGTACGTCAAAACCATGAAGCTGGAATAGTGCCGTCGTCTACCACTTTCATTGTTGTAGCCGGTATCAGTTTCAGTGGTCTCTGTTTTTGACCGACGCTCCCTGAAGTTTCAGTTGCCATGATCCGGATTTGCGTGGTAGCAACGAAAGGGATTTCTTAATAGGAAATCTGAGTCTGCATCCCTGACCACCCGATTGGTGGCTACCTACAAAGGAAAGCTAGACGAAACTTCAAAATCATTCGTAGGATTACGAAGCCGAAAATCAGATAAAAACTCTCGAATACCCGAGAGGTGCCTACACAGGACGACTTTCGGCAATTCAGAACGGGGCTATGAGAATCTTTACCTGAGGATTTTCAAATGTGTTGTAAATACAACGAATTAGGTGCTTACATACTTCGGCGTCAGCCTGTCACGCTCAGCGCTTGTAGGCCGAACGTTGTAGGTAGCGGCCGCTGACGACTTTTGCTTGGAGCCTGATATTTTCCACGCGGATCTGTGCAGAGCTGTTCCCTAATGAATGTTTACAAGGAAGAAACAACGAACAGCTATTGAAAAAGACAGAGAAATATGAAATTTTCAAAAACAAATCAGGGCGAACAGGGAGAAAATGGAAAATATAAAAACGGGGAATTTACCAAAAAGAAGCAAGCAAACGGTTGCGAAAAGCAGGACCCTATTGAATTAATATTCTCATGCAATTAAGGTAAAAAAAATCAGATCAATAAATCGAAAATAGCCAAGAAAACACGTTTTCTTTATGACGCTAAGAAAATAAACTCAAAATAGCCATATTCATAGCCCACCTATAGGGAATTGATCATCGAATGGTGTCGTTACGGAGCGTCGAGCGCTGCGGAATTGCGCAAAGGCGTCGGGCGTAAACGCTTGCCGCCTGAGGTTCTATCGTTAGCGATGCCGCCGGAGTATGAAACGCTCAGTTAGATTGCTTGAATTCGAATAGATTAATGCTGTTGAATAGAATGTTGCTCACTGCAAGGTCAGTGTAAGAACTAAGTTCCTGTGCTGCATTTCCGTTCCTGTTAATCCAATTGGAGAAGATTTGAGTTGTAGAAAACGCATTCCGTTAGTAGGAGACACAAGACGTAAAAGGAAAAGTGAACTTTCTGCTAAAGAGTCTTCTGTCAAAATGTAGAAGAATAGAATTTCTAAATAAGAAGAACAGAAAAGTTGAGGAGCGTCTGATCGGTATTAGTGTGGATCTCTCGGGCCTGGTATCTTCTCCCCGAACGGCGTGTCATGCTCGCCGCACGCGAACGCGCGTTCTCAAGGGAAAGATTCGAATTCCCGGATGAAGGATACGGAGAGTCGCCGTGGAACCACTGCCATAGGCCGTGGGGATTCGGGGAGAAGTTCCGTCATCATGGATCTGAGTGTTTTATTTCCCAAACTTCCTTCAGCACCGGTTGCACTGTACTACCTTTCCGTTATTGCCGAGTCTAAAATACGTATACTGCGTAAATAGGAACGCGTCACATTTTGAATTCTCGGTGCCATGGCACCGTTAGGGCAAACTGTTCTCTTCCTTGTTTTAGTGTAAGTTCACGCGTAGCAAATTTTGAGCATATATAAGTTGTCAGGTTTGTCAGGTTCTACTCGAACCGTAGGGTAGCTTCAAAATCTTTGACATTTCTTTTGCAGAACCTAATGCTCAGCTTAGCGGTGTTGAAAGGAAAATGTACAAGTAGTCTACACTAATCGAACCAGTGAGACGCCTGAGTTTGGCTCGCTGTCGACGGCGCTCTGATTTTATATCAAAAAAGTGAATCATCTTTTGTTGGACAATGTCTTCTCTGGTTCAGACCATTGCTTTATTGGAATGGATATCTTAGTTTGATTGAACTGTGCAATGAAGAGAAAAGGACCGTTTCTGGTTCAGAAATAAACACTGTCCTCTTCCTGCCCATCAATCGTCGTCATTTCCACTTGACTGAAGAACTTAGAGGCAGGAAAGGGACTTGGAAATCTCACAAGGTTGGCGATTTGTGGGCAAAACTCCAGTCTCGGACGGGACTCGAACCCGTACTTGTCCCCAGAAAGGACAAGTACGGGTTCGAGTCCCGTCCGAGACTGGAGTTTTGCCCACAAATCGCCAACCTTGTGAGACTTTCGCTTCGCGCACTGCGGCGTTAAAATAGCAGTTAACAAAACATCAAGTTAAAACAAGGACTTGGAAATTTGTTCACAAATTCGAATTTTGTTCACAAACTGCTTTCTGAAATGATCTTTCAGTACTATCAGGTCCAGGAGAAGCAGTAGTTTGGGAAGCATATCCTGAGCGCTTCATCCTTCCGAGAAGCATTGTTTCGCCCTTCTTTGAATGCCCGGAGGTATGCAATTAGGAAGACATTCAGGTTTCTTCTAGACTCGTCTAAAATTTACCACTATTTATTTTCATAGATAGTGGTTAGGGTTTTCTTTTCAGGTTAATACTCAGTGCACTTTCACAACGAATACATTCTGAAAGGTGTAATTAGTTAATGCCATTTGAGTGTAAAGACGACCAGTTTTCTCTGAAGCGCATTTGTATAAATTTATGATTGTTGGAGAAGTTAATTTAGGTTTTTCACCCTAAAATGTTAGGGGAAGAACTATAGTAATCATGTATGGATCATAGCGACTTCATAGGTCTTTTTCGTCATCAAGTCAAGGTAACAGGACTTGAAGACTTCACCAGTGTGGGCAATCTCAAGGCGTTGGTTGTCGGTTCTACAAAAAGGGCTCTTTACACGTAATCTTAAACTCCAGTGGTTTTTGCACTTCTTAGAAAAGTCGGTGCTAAGTGGGTTGGGGCGGGAACCACGCGGCGCGGCTGCGGCGCGGCACCCTGCGCTCTCCAAGCTCGAAACAGTGTTTAGAGACGTTTCATAGTTTTTTATGTTGTAACTGTGTATTTTTCACCTATTTAGGAAGGGAGGGACACTCCGGGGTGGGTGAGCCAATTGAACGTTCAACTTTTATCTCATTTCAGCTTCTTGCACGTGACAACCATCTCACCCAC